CCACCCCGGCCCTAACCCCCCCATGCTCCTGTCTGCCCCCATTCACCTCCTGCTGGCCCTAGCCGAGCACCATCCCTAGTCACTCCTGCTGGCCCCTCCTCCACAGGCTCTAGTCCCACCTTTAGGTTACCAGTTCTGCCTACTTGTTTTTCCCTTTGATCATTTTATTCCCTCTGCTCTTTGTTTCCTGCACCCTTCCTTCCCCCCCCCCCCCAAATTCAAAACTCCGGTCGTCGGAAGAAGTGGGCTGTGCCCATGAAAGGTCATGAGACCATCTCTGCATGTTTTGTTAGTCTATAAAGTGCTGCTCTAGTCCCACCTTTAGGTTACCAGTTCTGCCTACTTGTTTTTCCCTTTGATCATTTTATTCCCTCTGCTCTTTGTTTCCTGCACCCTTCCTTCCCCCCCCCCCCCAAATTCAAAACTCCGGTCGTCGGAAGAAGTGGGCTGTGCCCATGAAAGGTCATGAGACCATCTCTGCATGTTTTGTTAGTCTATAAAGTGCTACCAGACCATTTATTGTTTTTTAAGTTTCTCTGTCCTCCTGTAGGACTCCACAGGTTCTAATTCCACCTCTCATGTCCTCATCTGTGCTCTTGTCCGCTCCTTTCACAGACTCTTGCCACACGGTCCTGCTCATCCATACTCTTTCTCCCCTCTCCTCAGAGCCTTGCTTTAACCTTTCTCCTGTCTTCCTTCCAGAGTTGCTATTTACCACCTCTTCCCCTAGCCCCTAACCTTGGTCCTTGGGTTGGGAAGGAGATACTGTGAATTGTCATGCATGAGTATCACTTGTGATAGTAGAGAAAGGTGCATTTCATTAAAATTGCACTGCTCCAGGTTTATGAATTAGCATAAAAATGGCCAGATTGAGTCAGACCAAAGTTCCCTCTAGCCTAGTATCTTGTTTTCAGACAGTGGCCAATGCCAGGTGCCCCAGAGAAAATGAAAATAACAGTAATCATCAAGTGATGCACCCCGATTCCCATTCCCAGCTTCTGACAAACAGATGCTAAGGACACAATTCCTGCCATTCCTGGCTAATAATCATTGATGTACCTATCCTCCATGAATTTATCTAGCTCTTTATTGAACCCTGTATAGTCCTGACCTAACCCTCTGTCAAGGAATTCCACAGATTGTGCATTGTGTGAAGAAATACTTTATTTTGTATGTTTTAAGTTAGTGTCAGCCTCTCCATTTTTTGTGACTGTTATCTAGAAGTCCTAGTCATGGAGTAGTGTACAAACACATAGCAAATAGATTGTCCCTGGCCCAAAGAGCTTACAGTCTTCACCAGTCAATCCCTAGTTGTAGAAGTCCAGTTTTGTCTCCATTACATGCTGCCCCCTGTAGAAAACAGAAAGAAAGGCTAAAATTACAATAACTTTAACAGCAGTGTGTTTCATTATATAAAATATAGGTTAAAACAAGATTTTGGAACATTAAGTAATGCTGATTTCATTGGTTCACATAAGAATCGTGTACACAAATCTAATGACAAGAGTGACTGAGAATGAAGATGCTGTTTACAAGTGGAAAAGAAAAATTACAGTGCCTGGAACTTGAGAATAGTTTGAAGATATGCATCATTACATGCTAAGTGTTGAAGACAGTGTTACTCATTTCTGTAGTGTTCACTATTGTATACACACAATTTGTAAATTATTCAAGGATTTTGTTGTTGCTTTTTTGAGCAAATTTGATCAGGGTATGACAAGGCGTGTGATTATCTACTGAAATAGTGTATTTGTAAAAATTATTATGTTGGGTGTTCCTTAATGATAGCTGTGATATCCTTTTAATCCACTTGCAAGTTCCATTTTATTGTCACTATAAGAGTTTCAGAGCAGTTTTATTTCTTTCTATTCTAAAGTCAGTTTCTCTTACAGATGTCAGAAGATCTTGCAAAACAGTTAGCTAGCTATAAAGCTCAGCTACAGCAAGTTGAGGCTGCTCTGTCTGGGAATGGAGAAAATGAAGACTTACTAAAATTAAAAAAGGATTTACAGGTGAGGACTGAGGGAATTAGAAACCGAAATCTTTCTATCCTGAGTAATGTGAGCAAAATACCATCACTTTCTCTCAATCAGACACATGTTTGTTGCTGGGCATTTGCACTTTAAGAAATATAATTATTTGTCAGGGTTATCCCAAAATGTAAGTTAAAGGTTTGCTTTATGATATCAGATTGCCTAAAGAGACAGTGGGTACAGTTTGCAGTCCCAAAGTTTGTCTTGTCTTTTTAAGTCTATTAACATTCATGTTGTTTTATATGCTTTTTTAAAAGTCACTGTATGGTTTTCGTTTTTAGAAAATATGTTAGTACCACATTGTCAAGAAGAAAAGGGAGCTCTTATTTGAGATGTTCAAGGCTTTGGCTGAAATACTTAAATAATATTGTGTGTCAAAAAAAGAAGTGTAAAAAAAAATCATGTCTTAGTTGAAAGGCAGTGTAAGAGTATGGTCACAATGGAAGAAGAACAAAATTTGCTAAAAGAACCCTTTTAGCTTCCAAAGAATTGGATAGAGAACTATTAAAAATGTGGATAGTTTTTAAAAATACACATTTTTGTACCTTTTATAAACATTGTGCAAAGATAACTAGGGTTGTTAGATCTCGTGTAATTGAATAGTTATCTAACTGCATGAAATCTCAGCAGTTACACAACTATTTGATAGTCCCCTGGGGAGGGCTGCCAATGCTCTCATGGCCCCCTCCCAAGGAACCCCGGTGCCACCCTGCATGTGGGATGGCAGGTGAGAGCCAGTCCGCCAGAGGAGCCAGTTTAAAAACCAGCTCCTTGTGCAGACTGTCTGCCTGCTGCCCCGCACTGCTGTCACTGATAGAGGCAGCAGCCCCTGTTTGTAGGGGTCTGAGTTTTCTGAAGACAGAGACTGGTCCGTGGCAGTAGCTTCTGTCTGTGGGGAGCTCAGGCCACCCCATGGATGGGCTCCTGCTTGTCCTATCTGGTCAGACCCACCTGGTCTCTTGAGGTCCCTAAAGAAAACCATTTCCAATCTTCATCAGTGGCCATTTTGTGTTTTTAGAATAATACTCCAGTAAATTTACAAAATGTAATCTTGTAATTTACATCTAAACTCCACTTACATCTTTATTTTTAAAATAAAGTCATAGGATACTACACTTAAACTATATAACTATTTCCATTTGTCACTCAATGTGCTGCTAGCTTTTGGGCCATTCTGAGCATTAAATCTCTCCACATACATTTGTGCTGATTAATTTGGTGCTGATTTGTTTATTATTTAATTGTGTGCACTTTCAGTTACATCTATAAGGATAGCTGAAATAAGCTGTGTATGTAAGGAATGCCAGATTTGTCATGCAGTGTCAAATATGCTATCATTTGAAACTTAAGTTTGACAAGTTATTTTTTGTTGATGATTAAAAGCCATTAAAAGTCCTCATTAGAATCACTTTGAACAATGGCATGAACACCTTCAATTTGATTTAAAAAGCCTTTTTTATAGTCATAAACTTCTGTGTTAATCACTTCAGGCAACAACATTGGCACATAATTGTGCCTCCACTTAATGTTTTCTTAAATGTTAAGAGTATGGGTACAAAATACTACTTTATTTTTATTACTATGAAAAAAGAGCACCAAAGCAGCCAAGTTATTCACAAAACTTAAGTAGATAAAATTACCCACTGCAGCATTCAGTAACTGCTGCTCGAAAAAATGGTAACAAAAATAAAACTAAAAAACAAACACTAAATCAATGACTTCAGACAATAAACTGTTGATTTCCTTTTTAATATAGAGACCTTATGCCCACAGAGAATTTCGTAGTATAATCAGAATGTACTTGATTGCAGATTTTTAAAATCATGTGATTATTTTTAAAATGCAGAGCAAAACTTATATTTCTAATACCAATAAAAGATCCGCTTTGATGTATGGAAATCATTGAAGTGAAAGGACAATTTGCCTAAGAAAATAAAAGAACTCTGTGCAGGATAGGAAAGATGTTTTCATTTCCATCCCAAAAACTTTTCTACACATACTATTAAAAATGGAAAATAAGTCCAACTTGCTACTTCCTCTTTGTTCTAAAGATGAACAGTTATGTATACAAAACAATCTTTTCTCTTAGTATTTCCTCCATCAACACTACACAACATTCTCAACTTGGATCAAAATATTTTCATATAAATAATGTGCTCCCCATCTTTTACTATACTGAGGGATTTCTAGCAAAGTAATATAGTGTGACAAGCCGTGGAAAACCATGCATTCCACAATACAGAGCTCCAACTTGACCTGTGTGAAAGGCCGCTCTCAGGATGGATCACTGCATGCTGAAATCTGTCTACAGGTGCATCAACATGTCACAGGAAGTTGGTAATAAGTCACGCTGTATAGTTTATTTGACTGTATGTGGCTACCTTAATTAGCAGTTTTGCTATAGTAGGCAGTAACAGGACATTTTAACTCTTCCCCACAAATCTTTCTTTTAAAAAATGAGCCATTCAGACTTCAAAGATTTCTGTAGTGCTGTTTTACTGTGGTTCATGAGACAGTTTATCTACACTGCAGGCACTGCCTGTAAGCGCTTGTCAGACATCTGAATACATGAGACAGTTGCAGCTTCTCTTCTTGCTTTGGTAGTGGGTATCACATTATTTTCTGTTTACATAAACTTTTTTTGAAACTCATTTAATGCTGCCTCTAAGTTTCAGTTGGTGCCCTTCTGTTTTTTCAGCTTGCTACTTTCTTTAAGAGTTTTATGGAATAGAATTATTCTTTTCCCTCCCATTCCCTTTTTATTTCTACAAAGCTAGTTTACCTAACCCTTGAAATCCTGCATAAATCTAATGGTGCTTTTCTGCACCCTCCGGTTCATTATCTATTGCTGTAATGTAAAATCTTCCCATGTGCAGTACTTCAGTTGTGTTCTGACTAGCATGCTATATGCTAGAACAACAAAACAGATGTATTGGAACCCTAACCAATTTAAGACATGGTGTATATGGTTCAAGTTTCTGTTACTGTATCTAGTATTAAGATACAGCGATTTTACCACAATTATGTTTATATAATTTAAACAGTTGATGAAGTCGAGAATCTTTGATTAAATAGTCTGTGTGCATATTCACTCTAGTTCTACAATAAACTATTTTAATAGAAACAATTTAGGAAGGAGGCAGGAGTAAGTCAACTGTCTCCAGTTACAGTGGTTTCTGTATATCTGAAAAGCTTACCTTCAGGTAATCAGTGCACAGCTGTATTTTATTTGACCTGCTGATACATATATCACAAGCCCTGATGCTTCCTGGATTTGCAGATTACTGCTACTACCACCCGCTCTGTGAGTGAAGGAGCAGTGTTAGAGCTCAGACCTGGGGAAGGAAAAGTAATTAATGGTATGTACTCTAAGGAGCTCCCTCAAATGAAATATTCTAAATATCAAAATCATTGTTGGCCCATATACAATATTCTGCAAATAAAGATAGCAGTGAAGGTAGGCTGTGTCCGTATCCTCTGTACCAGTCTCTGCTACAAAATTACTAGAGGGTCTTTTAAAACAAACCCCAGACCTCATAAGAGAGGTCTAATTGATTGATTCAGGTATGAACAAACAAAAGAGAATCCAGTTGTCAGACCCTTTGTGCCTCTGTGCTAGCTCTTCAAACAAAAATACATAAGAAAAACAGTGGGAATTGCCTGAGTGGAATCCTCAACTTCTTGAGGAATGAAGAGCAGCCTCCTCTCTACCTTGAGCTTGCCCTCTCTTTAAAGGCCCTTTATGAATGAGGGTTAGTGAGTCAGGCTCCAGCTGTTCTTTCTCATCTCTGCTGAGTAGAGGGAGGAACTCTGCTGGGTCCTGCAGCCTTCTTTTCCCACTGTCTAGATTTGTTGCTGAGTCCATTTATTAAGAAAAGTGAGACGGGAGTCTGTCACAATTGTAGAGTACTTTTTGGGACCTTTCAAATCTTTTTTAGGGTGTGGCATTTACCAAAAGTACTTCTCATCTTGGATCTTTGCTAAGGAAAACATTGGAGTCAGGAATGTTGACAGTCATGATTTATATTGTTTTGTAGGCTAACGTGGAAATGCATTTTGAAAGGCTCATCACAAGTATAATTTCTTTATTTAAATCACCCCCCGGTCAGTAGTTGCAAAGAATACTTGTGCCTGGGCTGGACTAGCACATGATGTATACTGTGTTGCATCTGCTCTGTGAATAATTAAGACTTCACTCTATAGTATTTTAAGGCACTACAGATCAATTAATAGAAAAAAATATATATTGTCCTCCTGTCATTTGTCTTGTTCAGGTCATTTCTGTTAGGTTTATGACTCCATGCTGTGATGCCCTGATTGAGGAAAGCACTTAAGTCCATCTTTTTTCAGGAAGGCAATTAAGCATGTTCCTAAGTTCTTTCCTAAGTGATAGTTTCCTGAAAAGGGAGACACTCCTCTCCCCATAATATCTCTGGATACTTCAGGTCAGTCAATCCCCACTTTTTCAAAGGAAATGAAATAATATCACCTCTCATTCAAAGGTGCTTATGAGTATGCTTATTCTATATGCAGTATTCTAAAACAGTTAAGAAATGTGTAATTTCAGGGATAACTAATCATTTTTAATGAAAAATAAACTGCAGTTAAGGCGGAAAAGCAAAACATTCACATTTATCAATTATAAAGTTTTGAATAATTTTAGCTCTTGCCTTCCCTTTGAGCAGTGAATGTGACACTGGTTGCTCATTCCCCTTTGCAGCCATGTGCTCTTCGGTCAAAAATTGAGACGCACATGCAGCACACATGTGCAAAGTGAGTTGCATCAAGGATTGTTTCCACATGAATAGCTGACTCTGTCTGTGGCTATGGAAAAGCAGTTCAGCTATAAAGAATTTGATGTTAAAAGGAAACATTGGGGGATTTTGGAAGTTGACCAAGGGTGGAGAGGTATTCTTCTACATCTGTGATGTCTGAGACTAATACACTGTAGTTAGCAGTAGATAGCCAGAAATATGCTTTACATCAAATACATGTTTAATATAATCACTAGAAAATAGATCTGTTAACTTGGGGAAAAATGAAGAACAGTAATGGTGTTTGAAAGTATATTCTTTGCCTTTTCCTTTTCCAGGAAGTAATAGAATTAACCAAAGATCTTCTTTCAACACAACCTTCAGAAGCCCTTGCAAGTTCTGATAGTTCTGCTTCTGCTCTACCCAGTCATTCTTGGAAGGTTGGGGATAAATGTATGGCAGTATGGAGTGAAGATGGACAGTAAGTGTAGAAAACAAACTTCTCTAACAGTTATATGAAATAATACAATACAATGGTAAGAGATTTTCATTCTGCTTGAACTGCCCCATTTGAGTAATTCTAACAGAATAGCAAAGAGCAAATAAGTATTGCATTTTCTCTTAGGCTATGTCTACACAGCAGTGTTATTTCGGAATAACAAACGTTATTCCGAAATTACAAAGTGCGCATCTACACTGCAAGCCGTTATTTCAAAATAATGTCAAGCTGGAGGACTTCTTACTCTGACTCCTGCAACCCTCATTTCACAAGGAGTAAGGGAAGTCAACGGAATAGTGTTCTTCCTTTGACTTCTTGCTGTGTAGACAGCACAAAAAGACGAATTAAGCTATTTTGACTTAAGCTACACAATTGACATAGCTCAAGTTGTATAGTTTAATTTGACTTTTGCTCTGCTGTGTAGCCGTGCCCTTAGTGAAGGTTCACATTATAGACCAAGTGAAGGAGGTATTTGGTGATTCTGAAAACACCTTTTCTTGTCACCACCCTCAAAAGAAATATATACAACTTAAAAAATGCGTACACTTTTATAAACAAATTACAATAGTTTTACGTAGTGCCTCATGTGCTGGGGTGTGTAATTGCCATTATGTTAATATATTTTACATTTAATCATTGTCATGAATGAGAAATTTAAATCTGTGCATTTAAGTTGGAACACCATTGTAGAGTTGTAAAGGAACTGTAACTCTGTTGAGATGCAATATTGCTTTGTAATCTACCTTTAGGAGCTTGATACTTGGCTGTATCATGCTCTGGTGATGCTGTACCAAAATAGTTGGTTTTGACTCCCCCAGCTAATATTATTGAGATTTTCTGGGGTTGCTTCAATTTAGTGTGATTTTTATAGTCTTTGAAATATGATACAAAATAAAGGCTAAACTATAATTCAGAAAATATGTAACATGGAAACATTTATGAATCTTTTCTAATCAAACTGTTCAGATTGAGTCAATATCCTATTGCCTTCTCTTAGAAAAGTGTTGAATCTGTGCACAATGGAACTGCTATTGTAGGGACAACCAAATATGTATGCTGATGCAGAATTATTGATATTTTCATGTAGAAAATGGTTTGTGTTCCAAAATGAAAACACTTCTTCTGTTGCTAGGTATTGATGGCTGGAATATTTTCTCACCTATGTGAGAATAATCACAACTCTGTACCTTAAAAGCCTTCACAGTCACTAGCTCCTCACCAACACCGCCCCCCTCTTGGGAGTGCGGGTAGTCAATAAGATTAACCAGTATGCCCAAGTATATTGGTTAATCATTTGCTCACCAATATAAGCCAACACCCTTGCTATGAACAGTTTTAGTTTAAAAGAATTCTGGTGGAAAACACATTGTCAGAAAATTCCTGATTAGATTGCCATAGTTTTAAAATCTGATATTGCATGACACACCAACTAGGAGAAAAATCAGATTCTTAACTTTGCAGTTGCACAAAAATGTGTTTCTCACCTGAATAGCTATTAGCCTTAAAGCTGTCACTGATTCCTTGATCAGCTAGTGAGGTTAAGCTCTTGTGCAGGACTGGTATACTTAGGTCCTTAAAGAACATTAACTTCTCAGTTTGATTTGTATTTTGTCCTCAAAAACAAAAGCCGTTAGTAGCAAGTACTTAACTTAATGTTAGTAGCTGAATAACAATGTAGGTGTTGTAGGGCTGAGTATTAAGCCATTACTCACATGCTTACAGCCATGATATCTTTACAGGTGTTATGAAGCTGAGATTGAAGAGATAGATGAGGAGAATGGGACTGCTGCAATCACATTTGCTGGATACGGCAATGCGGAAGTCACGCCTCTGCTCAACCTCAAACCTGTAGAAGAGGGAAGAAAGGCAAAAGAGGACAGTGGCAACAAACCCATGTCCAAGTAAGTGACTTGCATAAGATGTGTACACTAACAATGAACCAGGCCAGCCAAGTGTGTTATGTTTGTCTGGTGAATGGCTAGATAGATGCTCGAGTTTGCTTAAGGAAGCATAATCTGGTAAAAGCACCTCATTACTGGACCAGTTCTGTTTTCTTATTTATCAAGGATATGAATGTGTGAGAGAAATAGAATTCTTTCATTGCCAGCAAAGAGGCCAGTTTCAATCACTGTAGTTCAAAATCATGATCAGGTCAAGAGTAATGCAAGCTGGAGATGATCCTTATAATTTGTTTTAGGGATGTTAAAATGTGTGTAAGTAAGTAACCGTGTAACCGCTGAAAATTTCAGTGGTTTACATGCGGGGCGGCAGTCCTCTCCTTGGAAGCCGGTGCATGCGGGGAGCTGACTTTCAAGTATATTACAAATTACTGATAAAAGAAATGGTAGATGCCTGTAATCTAGAAGGAGCTTTTCAGAGCTTCTAGTTGGTAGTTTGAGTGCTGCATACACAAGTTTTCATTTGACGGAATATAAAAATAGCTTCAAGAAGTAAAGTTGCTTTGATTCTTTGTGAGATTCCTCAGGGTTGTGAGACACCCACCTCCCTTAGCACAAGGAAGCTTTGTCTATGCCTGCCATTGGTCAGCTCACTTCACTGGCCACAGGCCACACAAGTGTAAATCACACGCCTTCTGGGTGTGGTGTACTGTCCCACCTAGTGGCACCAAGACCATTTACAGAGAGTAAATAGTAAGTCTGCCCTGTGGTTGTAGCTAATAGTCAGCTGGCTTTTAGTCCATACAATAGAGGCTCATGTACTAAGATCCGGAGGTCCCAGGTTCAATTCTGCTTTCCAGCATTTACACAAGCACTTCCCTTTTAGCCTAGGCAGGTTTTGCACTTTAGCTTCAAGTTAGCACTAAGCATATTCCAGCCCTGAACATGTCCCTGTTCCAGTAGATGCTGGCAGAATTCACAGATTTGCTACTTCCAAAGAAGCAATGCGCCCCATTTTACTACATCTCAGATTATCGTTCTGCTTAACACGAAGCACTTTGATATGTTTATAGTAAAAACACGTTACACTTTATTTAACAGAGTAGAGAGATCCAGGTGGTAACAAATGGTTACATATACCATACAAACATTCTAGAACCTAGACTTAACTAGATGCTTTTCCTGTCTTATAGGTCAGTGCTCACCCCAAGTTCTTCTAGCACTTTACAGCAGGTTTGGCTCTAACCCTTTGTTCATAATACAAACATCTGGCTAGCTTACCTTCTCTGTGAAAGATCCAGGCTCAACCTCTGCACCCCCAAATATACCCTAGGAATCCATTGTCTTGACTCCTAAACAGGATTCACACCTGCTATTTATTCTCTTCAAGATTTTGCATTCTCTTGATTAATTTGGCTCAGTATTGAAACTGTCATCCATTGAGAGACATACAGTACTTAATACACACATGGCCAGACAGAAAGATAATGTCTGTTATAGGGATGTAAAGTGGCTAGTCGACTAGTTGTCTACCCAGTAAGCATATGCATAAGCATATGGTTATTGGGTAGTCGAGTGACTACTTAAAAGCCGGTTCCCCCCCAGCATCATTTCCACGGGGGCAGGCAGGCAGCGGGGTACTGGACACAAGCTGGGAATCAACTGTCCCAGCTCGTGCCTGCTCCCAGATGCTGCACCTCTACTTCTTAAATGTAGTAAGAGTGGCCATTCTGACAGCTGTTTCCCAGCCTGTACCCGGTCCCCCACTGTGCCTCTGCCTTTTAAATGCTTTTAAAGCAGAGGCGTAGTGTCTGGGACTGGGTGCGAGCCAGGACAGCTGATTCCCAGCTCGCGCCTGGTATCTTTACTAGCATCTGCCCCGCATCTCATGGAGATGGTTCTGTGGGGAACCGGCTTTTAAACTGGCTTTCCCCAGCACCCGCTCCTACTCCCCCTGGCTTGCTGCTTCTCTCTGATAGAGGCAGTGGGGTGGTGGGGAGAAATGACTAGTCAGGTCACTATTTGACTAGTCACTAACATCCCTAGTGACTGTTACTACATTTAAAAGGCAGAGCCACAGTGGGGTTAGCTTCCAGGGCTGGGAGCTGATCCCACTGCAGCTCTGCAGTTCCCCCGTTACTGAGTAGTTGATGGAAATTCCATCAACTACTCAGATGTTTAAACATCCCTTGTCTGTCGCGTCCTGCTTGAAAAGGACCTGTCAGACACGTCACCTTCTGGTTATTAACTTTAAGAATATTAGGGGGCTGCACACTCTGCTTACCTATCCATCTCTCTCTGGCCACTTTCGTTTCGCTGAGAGAGCCTGATGATGTCATTTTTTTTGTCATTCTGCAGGAAAA